TCGAATGAGAGGCGGACACGTCATCGACACACCCGCCCATTGAATCATCGCGAACGGTGCCTTTAAACAAAAGTTAGACCGAGGATGGTCGTCCTCCTGTCCAAGCCAGTACAGTTCACGATAATTTTGAGGCATCCATTTTTGTTCAAAAAGTAGTAAAGAAAGCGAGAGAATTCGTCGGTTTTGAGAAAAATACGGCTTCTTAAAAGTAGGGAAATGGAGGTTGGACGAGTTTACTGTGACGGATATATCACGAAAGGGGTATTCGGACAAGATTTCAGTTGTTGCAGCTTCGCAAAGAGCTGACTATATCAAGCCGAACTGTACAGAACTGCCTTTCGCTTTCGCTATGATCCATAGCAAGTTGTTTGGGCATCCTACATGGGCTTCTGTGACTTCTACAACCGGTGACTAGACTCGTCATTCTCTTTGTTCAAATGACTTGGGTCGGAGTGTTATGAAGCGGAGAAATAATAGAAAGCAAATTTTGGAATGCTCTTTGGAGACATTGCGCGCGTTTTTCAGCCAATGTTTTTCACAGCTATCAAAAGAGCTGATCTAATTTTCCCACTTTTGAAGTTGCTCAAGAGCATACTGATCTCGAACTTATCCGTTGGAGTAAAGAAGACCGCTCTGGTCTAGGTTTGACTGATGGTTGCAGCTCCATTCATTATATTGTGCAGCGATCATTCTAATCATTACTCATATCAAAAGACCACAAAAAAGATACCTTTGAAATGATTTTGTGTTTAATGTCGTGCAGTAGCTCTTCAAATGTGTCTGGTGTTTCTGGTGCTCTCAACGACATGGTGCTGTAGAGGGAGCCCGGAAGGTCGTCTGAATGCTTACATCACCAAAATGAAGTAACTAATATCTGGTAGTATATTACGAATTCTGTTTGATTGAAACAAACCACTCGTAACGCTGCATTTGATGGGATTATCTGACCACTCAATCGCCAAGTTGGCTAGCATTTGTAAGTACCTAATGAACTCGTTCGGGGAAACAGGATTTTCGAGAACCTGAAATAGTTAATATATTATATGGCTTTTGGAGCATNTGAATTAACCAAAGTATACCTCTGTGAGAGAACGTGCAGGCTCCGCTTTTACAAACAGTTGTGAACCCCCTGCTCTGTTCTTATCGAACGAGACTGGTGACCGCGTCTGTGCACTTTCCATTGATGTTTCTGCAGAGGGTTCAGCTGGTGGCTCACTCTCGTCCATTTCTTGAGTCGGGTCAAGCTTTTCTTGAATCTCGTCCGTTTTTTGGGTGGGATCTACCTTGTACTCAATCTCTTTCCTCCTATGCAACGGTTTCCATCTGGAATGCTTCTAACTTGAGACGAGAGCGTTCAGTTTCCCACAGGAGAAATCTAACGCATGATTGTGAAGATAGCAATTTTTTGGAGAACTCTGGAACTAGGGTCATTGCTATTATACATCCAGTGCTTCTTGTAACGCTGTGGGAGCTTCTTTTCTCAGGTTTGAAAAAGGCTGTTATGAAGTCAGGCACTGATCCTAGCTGGTAATGTTGACCTGCGTTGAAAATGTTCCTCGACTTATTTTGCTTTTCTGCTTTTTTTAAACACCGATAGTTCCGAACCAGAGCCTGTTTTTAATTACTGAAGTCTTTGTCCTCCGCAATTGTGACATTTTTT